ATGCATGCTGGCGCAAAAGATGACCCTTAACTAACCGCAGCTACCTGAAGTCACTCACTCCACACGTGGTCCCTACTGTAGAATGTCCTTTGTGGGCCACCTGGGCTGGTGCGGGGTACCCAGAGCCTGAAGCACACGGGCCAGGAGCAGCCCAGTTGCCAAGGAGGCTGGACTGAGTCACCAACAGTGGTCAGCAGCTCCCGTGTTGGCACGATGGGAACTTGGGTTCATATGTGTATTCCTCCACCTTTCACCCTTGAAATGCAGAAAAGAAAGCAACGGCAGCCAGCGAAGGACCAGGACCACTCCTTAGAGATGCATGGAGGGAAGCAAGACATGGTGGCACATGTCCACGATCGTAGAGCTCAGGAGGACAAGGCAGGAGGGTTGCTAGGAATTCGAGGCCCGCCTGGAACACATAGGAAGACCCTGTCTCAGGGAAAAAACAAAACAAAACAAAAAACCCCACAGAAATGCCTGGAGCATGGGGCTGGTGAGATGGCTCAGTGGTCTAAAGCACCTACTTAGAACAAGCTTAGCAAAGCACACGGATCACGGTTCAATCCCCCAGCACCACATGCCAGCCAGCCCGCCCCCTGGTGGGCTGAGCTGGCCACACACACACACACACACACACACACACACATAAATAATTAAAAAAAAAAATGCCTGGAGCATAAGTGCCTCACAGACCGCCCCTCCCTTTTGGTTTTTGAGATGGGGCTTCATTACGTAGTCCTGGCTGGCCTCAAACTCACAGTGAGCCTCCCAATTCCTGGGATTACAGCCTTTCGCCACCACACCCAGCAGACTGCCCCTTTAAAAGTTTCTCGCAGAAAGCAAATGACATAATCTTAAGTCTTTTCACAAATATGAGTCAAAAACTTTTGCCGTCTGGGCAGGAAATCTTGTTCCTCCGGCCAGAAAAACAACTAGGATCCTGGGAGCTTCCCGTGTGGTGCCTCGCACAGGGGTCCAAGCTGCGAGCCGCAGCTGCAGGGCTGCTCCTGCCTGCACGGTGACCTGCGTGCTTGGGTGACTCGGCTCTATTTTCTTACATATTGCCGTAGTAGACTACAAAACAGCTCGGGGCCGGGGAGATGGCTCAGTAGAACAAGTGCTTTTCTGTAAAATCCCACTGGGCTCATTTTGCATGGGGATTGGATTCATAATTCACAACATAGGTTGGCCCGGCTGTTCTTTCTGCTTTCCCTGTGTGGACGCCGTGGCACAGGGGATGCCACACAGCCAAGAGGCCTGCAGGTCCCACAGGGAAGACAACTGAGAAACTAAGTACAGAACAGCCCTCAGCAGGAATCTCCAGGAGCCAAGCTGGCCAACACAAGGATATCCAGGTAGCAGCCAGAAAGACAGCGCGACGACATCTGCGCTCCCAGTCGTGACTCAGGGCCTGCCAGTGACCACAGCCCACCACTTACAAGAAGTCCCTGACTTTCAAACATGATCTGATCCTGGAGAATGTTCATAAGTCGGAATTTTGTGAGTCCGACCAGGGGAGTCTTAATACAGCTTTGAGACCAACGTAAGGTGTGTATCACTCACACGCCTGGTGTCCCCTCCTCGCTAGCACGCTTTCCTGTTGCTCCCAGCTGAACCCTGTGCCTGATGGCACCACAAGGAGCACACAGGGGCAGGACCACAACAGCACCGCAAGTGTGTGCCCACCTATAAACGTTGACAACTTGAGTGTCTGCCAGGCAGGGGCTGACCATGCTTCCACATGCCTGATTTTGAGAGGAATCTGTCTTCGTGGTCACCCTAGTGGCACAAGTCACAGCACACAGCGCTGTTCAGTTCCAGACCTGGGGCCAGAAGGGAGAAGGGGAGAGATGTGAACCCTCTGGGAGGCTCCCGTAAGTGTTCATCTACTGCAGCTCGATTCCTTCACCTGCAGGACGGTGGCTGTGCAGCCAGTCCCTCCAAGCCCAGGAGCGAGCCCCAGGAGCTCTCTTGGTGGCTTCCTCAGTGGAAACTGAATTATCTTCTATTTAGAGGTTATTTGATAATTTTGCTTATCAACTGCTTTGGCTTCTCAGTACCGTAGTTATTATGGGAAATGTCATAGTACCCTTTTCACTCCTGGGACAACGTACCCAGTGCCCGTCACCCGAAGGAGGAGGGCTCCTCGATTGGCTGGCTGCTGGCTGAGAAGACCTGGAGGGCGACCTGGCTCAGGGCAGCCATTTGCATCGCGGGGTGGAAGCAGCAAGGGGGGGGGGAGCCGGGTACAAGGGCAAATCCTTCCAGGTCCCAGCAGGGACACCCCAGCCGGGTCTGCGCTCATGGCCTGCAGGCTGGGAGACCACTTTAGATCCAAGCCCAGCAGAGCTTTCGGGGCTATTCAGACGCCCAACCGGTGAGGAGGTCAAACAGACAGAGTAAGAGAACTCTGCATGACAGGCTACTTGGCCTGTATAAGCTCTTATTTTCCTTAAATCCAACTAACTTGAGCTGTTTTTTGTTGTTGTTGTTGTTGTTGCGGAACCGGAGTTTAAACTCAGACCCTTGCGGGGTCTGAGGAGGAGGAATTGGAAGACCTCCAACAGCCGAAGTGACCCAGAACCAGCAGTTAGAGGCATCCACTCCCTGAACCGAGACTTGGGAAGCTGCAGCACAACCGTGGCACAAAACAGACCCCAGCCCGGGTACTGGAGAGACAGCTGGCACCTATGGCCAGCCAGCTTTTGACAAAGGGGCTAAAATGCACATCGGTGAAAGCACAGGGACTACACACAGGGCGCCGGGGAAACTGGTGATTTCATGCAGCACATGGCCGGACCCACACCTCTGACCATGTACAACAGTCAGCCCACAGTGCATTGAAGATCCAAAGGCAAGATGCCAAACCAAGAAACCAAGAGGAGAAAACCTGGGGACGCTCCATGACGGTGGTCCAGGAGTGTTCAGCTCCAAACTTGAGCACTCAGGAAACCGAAGCAAAGCAGTCATTGCAGGTGGACCAGGCCCGCAATCTCCTGCATGAGTGGTCGGGAAGGCTCAAGTAAATGAGTCACGGGATAGGACTTTAGGGCTCCAGCAGGATCAAAACCCTCTCATACAATTGCAGATCCAGGGGCTGGAGAGATGGCTCAGTGGAATAAGCACTTCCTTGGCTAGCACAAGGGCCTGAGTTCAATCCCCAGTTCCACCAAAAAGAGGAAAAAAAAAAAAAATTCCAGATCCCCTCACTGGGGGCTGAGACAAAGAACTTCTCTGGTGACCCATACATATTTGGTTTCCAGACAAAGGAGGGGGACACAGAGGTAAGTGTGGGAGTCTGAGCAGGACCTCTCAAGGACCTTGGGAGTCCACTCAAGGATTACTTCAAGAGACACATTAAGTTAATTTAGGAGGAGTATGTATCTCTAGGAAGGGCTCCACCCAGGAGTGAGATGCCTGCAGCTACAGACTTTATCTAGTTAATTGGGCTTGGAGCCAGGTGTTCTTAGCTGTGACCTTGTCTTGTGAGGCTTCTGGGCTTCACCTGCCATACCGAGTCCACAGACCATCTCCAGGCCAGGAGCCTAGGCCTTGGGCGGATGAAAAGGAGACGCAGAAACCAGGTGGTTAATTCCAGTCCTGCTCAGAGTTGCGCCATCAGTGGGGTCTCATTGAACTAGAGTCTAGGCACACCTGAGGCAGTCACAGCACGCAGGACAGTTGGTGCATGGGACAGGAGGGAGGACTCTCAAACTGAACCTCAGATAAAGAGTATCCAAAACATGCAAGGAACTCAACTTGAAAGCAAGCTGATTAAAAAATTCACTGATATTTATCAATAAAATTTTGGAAAAAAAATTCACTGATGGAAGCTGGGGAGATAGCTCGGGGGTGTAAGCACCTGCCTGGCAAGCACGAGGACTTGAATTCAAGCCCTAGAACCTCAGGTGCACTGTGCAGGCCCAAACCGGGCGTGGTAGCACACACCCATAATCGCAGCTCTAGGGAGGCTGGGACAACAGGATCACTGGGCCCAAACTGCAGAGCTAGACCCTGCATAGGGAGACTCTGCGTTTAAAAAATGCACAAATGCCATTTAGGGGCCGGGGAGATAGCTCGGTGGCATAAGCGCTTGCCTGGCAAGTGCAAGGTCCTGAGTTCAATTCCCAGCACAAAAAGAAGCCAGCGACCAGAGTCAGTGTGCCAGTTAATCAGCCAGACTTAGCCACACTGCAAGGCAAACTGAAAAGCCTGCTCTGCAGGCTGAATGCGTATATCTTTGTGTCAACTCACAAAACAAATAAGCAAACAGAAAGGCAGGAGAGAGCCGGCCGGTGAACTCCAGCCTGGTTCAACGTAGATGCGCCTGTCGGCCAACAATGAGAACACAGAGCCGGTGGACATGCCGGCACCTGAGGCCACGCCACGCGCACGCTGGACGCGCAGAGCTCCACTGTCCTCTCGGCTGAGCGCACTGCCCACCCGCCTTGCCAGGCGCGGGCGATTGTGAGCCTGCTGAAGCAAATGTCCACTTTAACTCGTCCAAAGAGTTTGGTATTTTTTGAGAGATTTCTTTCTTTCTTTCTTTTTTTTGTTTCTTTTTTTAAAGTACTGCGGATGTAACCCAGGACCTTTGCGTGAGATAACGTCTTGCTGAACTGCTGAGCACGGGCTCCAACACGGGATTCTCCTGCCTCAGCCTCCTTGAGCGCAGGATCACAGGCCCGTGGCCTCAGCCAGGGCCGTTTGCTCCCTCACCGCGCCCACACTTCGCAGGGTCCCGCAGGTCCGCCGCACCCAGGCCTCCTAGCGCTGGGCCTGGGCCTGGCGAGCCGGGCGCACAAGGCGGCACAGCGCGCAGGGCGGCACAGGACCGTTAGTCGGTGTGGCCGGCTCGGTCCCGCCCCGCTCCCCTCGACCGCGCCCCCTTTCCGAGCCCAGCAGGGGGCGCGTGTCGGGCCGAGCACCGCCCCGTGGGCGGGGTGGGGGCGGGGCTCGCTCCGCGCCACAAGGTCCGGCCAATGGGTGCCCGCGCGGCGGCGGTAGCGGCGCAGAAAGCCGGGCGCACCCTGTGGTCCCCGCGCGCGATGGCTGCGGAGCCCGAAGTCGCCGGGACGCGGGCGCCGGGGCGCGGCGCGCGCCTCTTCACGTGGGAGGAGGTGGCGCAGCGCTCAGGGCGCGGGGAGCGCTGGCTCGTGATCGAGCGCAAGGTGTACGACATCAGCGACTTCGCGCGGCGCCACCCGGGAGGCTCGCGGGTCATCAGCCACTACGCGGGCCAGGATGCCACGGTATGGGGCGCGGGGCCGGGCGGGACGGGGCGCGCCGACAAAGGCCGCGGCGTGGGTGCGGGTGGGATGGGACCGGGCCGCGGACTCCCACGTGGGTGCGCCCGTCGCGCGGGGCCGCCTCCGTTCCCGCTCCAGGTCCCGGGCCGCCCAGACGGAGCACGGCAAGTCCGGTGGCGCTTGTCCTCGGGATCGAGCTGGTCCCCGCCCCGCGTGATGTTCCGCTAGCGCCTCCCCCTCCCCCCCAGGGTTCCTGCTAGGTCTCCGCGTGCAAGGGCCGGCCTGCCCGGGCACAGCCGGCCTGGTCACCCGAGTGACCACTGCGGAGCAGGCACGGCGTCTGCGTGCAGAAGAACAGGCCCGTGCGGTCCCGACACTCTTGGCCACCGGGATGCTGCCAGTCCTCTGCAGGGCAGCAAGGATTCCCCACCCACCCTACCTGGCCTTGAGCCCTCTGGGCAGGGCTGGTCAGAGCTCCAGCGTGCCGCAAGGGATGGAGCTCGGTTCCTCGCCCCGGGGCCTGCTGGGGCTCGCGTGTCCCTGGGGCAGTCTGGAAAAGTGGGCTCCAGGGTATGGGTTGATGACTGAGACCTGATGGAGATGCTTTGGCTCGCCTGGCCCTGGCTGTTCTCCATTCAGGCCTGAATTTCTGGGGCCATGCACCTACCCTCCATCCACTACCCCACAGGGGATCTTGAGCCTGGTGTTGCCTGGCTTGCTGGGACAGGAAGGTCACCTTGGCAACCTCTTTGGCAGCAGGCCTTCCTCACCTCTCGCCCCCCCTCCCCCAGGATCCCTTCACTGCGTTCCACATCGACAAAGCCCTTGTGAGAAAGTACATGAGCTCGCTCCTGATCGGGGAGCTGGCTCCGGAGCAGCCCAGCTTCGAGCCCAGCAAGAACGTGAGATTCTGTGTGCCGTGAGGGGTCTGGCTGGTGGGGAGGGCAGAAGCCTCCATTGGGCCACAGCTGACAGGCGTGTGGCTCCAGGTCCCACCTCACCCTCGGTGTCTTGGGGCTTCAGCCCAGGCAGCAGGCAATTGGACCCAAGTTCCCCAGGGCTGCCCCAGCAGTGCCCCTGCCCCTGGCTGCTTGTTAGAGGCCAGGCCTGAGCTCACAGTTGCCACACATGCAAAAACATAGCTCAGATGGCTTGTGCCATCAGTCTGGTGTCCAGGAGGTGATGACATGTTGAAGGCCCTGCTGGCTTATGGCGGGCGGCCCCAGACAGTCCCTGCTCTCATAACCCTTCCACCCGCAGGAGGCGCTGACCCATGAGTTCCGGGCACTGCGGGCCGCAGTGGAGCGGATGGGACTCTTGAGAAGCAGCCATCTCTTCTTTCTGCTGTACCTGCTGCACATCCTGCTGCTGGACATCGCCGCCTGGCTCACCCTGCACATCTTTGGGACATCCTTGGTACCCTTCCTCCTCTGCGCTGTGCTGCTGAGCGTGGTCCAGGTGAGAGCTGGCTCGGCCCCTGCTCGCAGCCGCCTAGGAATTTTCTGTGCACATCTTGTTCTCCTGTGCCTCCCAGCTGAGCTTCTTGCCCGCTGGTCCCTTCTTCCTGTGGAGTGGGACTGGCTTCGAGTTTGGGTTCTGCCCAGTGTGCCAGAAACAGTCTTAGTGGGGCTTGGCTTCTGCCAGCTGCAGCTCCACCCTGTGTTCTGATAGCAGCCAGGCCTGGTGCCCGGTCGGGCAGCACTCAGCCGCCCCTCGCTCCCCGTGGGCTCTTTCTTGCATCCTGGGTGCTGTCCCAGGTGCGTGTCTGGCCCCAGGCCCTGCACCTCCTGGCTTGTCCACAGGCGCAGGCCGGTTGGCTGCAGCATGACTTCGGGCACCTGTCGGTCTTCAGCACCTCCACACTGAACCACCTGCTGCATCACTTCGTGATCGGTCACCTGAAGGTGGGTGGGGCCCCAGGGCTGCTGGGCACGGGGTGGGGTGTGGCTTCCATGGAAGCTCAGGTCCCTGTTCTTCGCAGGGGGCCCCTGCCAGCTGGTGGAACCACATGCACTTCCAGCACCATGCCAAACCCAATTGCTTCCGCAAAGACCCAGACATCAACATGCACCCCTTTTTCTTCGCCTTAGGGAAGGTGCTTTCGGTGGAGGTAAGCAGGTGGTGTGGGGGAAGGGCAGGGGCTGGACTGCAGCCGGACGGCCCGGGGGCTTGGGCAGGCCCTGCACTGGATGCGACTCGAGCCCTGACCTTGTCACTCTAAGGAAGAACAGGTGGTAGCCAGGGCTCCCGGGTGGGGGTCCCCAGCTCCTACAGCCGTGCAGCAGTGGCGCGGGCTGCACAGGTCCGGGAGACCACTCCCTGAAGGCCTGCTCACCATCAGAGGTTCTGCCTGAGCTCTTCAGGTGCTTCCCAAGTCCCCTGCTCTGGCTAGAGGATCCCTGGAACATCAGACCCTGGGTACAGTCGGCCATCTGTGTTGCTGGACTCTGCTTCTGTAGGTTCTGGATACTCAGAAAAGCACAGTTGCTCCGTATCGAATGTGTTTTCTCGTAATTTCCTAAGCGATGCGGTGCATCTCTTAGTGGTTGTGTTGTGTTAGGCATCCAGGTACCTAGAGAGGTGTGAAGTGCGAGTAGCAGGGCTGGCTGTGGCCCAGTAGACAGTTCTTGCCCACTGTGGGCGCCAGCCTGGTTCTGGAAGGCCCATGACCCTGGAGGACTGCAGCTTTCCGAAGGCGGGAGCGCTACCTGAGGGGCTTGCCCTGGATCCCATCCCTGTGGCGCCCAGGGCAACCTCTCTGCTTCTTCCCACCCTCTTGGCTTTCCCTGGTCACCAGGCCAGGAGCAAAACCCCAGTGCTAAAGGAAGAGTGAGGGTAGGCGAGGATCTGCGGGCCTTCTGAGGGTAGGCATCTTTCAGAAGGTTCTGAAAGCCCCCAGAATTCCTCAGAAAGTTAAGTTAAAACCAATGAACAGTGCTTGCTGGTTAGCTCAGTTGTTTAAGTGCCTGCTTAGGCAAACTCTGACAGGCGCAGGGGACCTCGGTTCAGTCCCCAGCTCCACATACCATACTAGACCTGCCCTTAAGGCAGCCTGAGCCAGCCAAAACAAACAAACAAACAAACAAACAAACCGAAAAACAAACCTGCGACCATGTTGTACACTGCTGTCTGCCTCCTGCCAGCACCCCCACCCCACCCCCCCAGTGACATTTCAGCTGCCAGGAGCTAAGCTGTTCAGCTCCAGGCAGGAGTTCAAGGTGGCTGGCCTGGCTCTGCTCTGCATTGGCTTTTAAAAATCCATTTTTTAATTTTTTTTTCAATTTTATTTGTTTATTATTTAGTGTGTGTGGCCAGCTCAGCCCACCAGGGGGCAGGGCTGGCTGGCATGTGGTGCTGGGGGATTGAACCGCGGTCCCTGTGCTTTGCTTTGCTTAGCTTGTTCTAAGTAGGTGCTTTAGACCACTGAGCCATCTCACCAGCCCATCTGCACTGGCTTTGAGTGGCGCTGGCCAGCCTGGCACAGGGGCCTCTCAGCTTCTGCCCCACGGCTCCTGGGGCTCACCCACTGCTTGCTAGGGTGGCTGTTTACAGTATGGGTCACTCTTAGGGGTCACTAAGCGCTGGCCCCTTAGCATGTGTGAGACGGTTTGGGAGGCGGAGTGGAGGGACCGCTGTTCCCATACTATACTTCCGCTGCCCCTTGGTGAGAGAGGGTCCTCAGGGAACCTCATGCCCTCTGGGATCCAAGCCTGTGGCTCCTCCTGCCATGCTGTGAGCAGGGGCTAGAGCTGTGGGCTGTGTGGGGGCTCCCCAGCCAGCTGCACTGGATAGAAACTCCCTAGCTGGCTCCTCATGGGACCTGAGGCCAGTGGGACGTTCCAAACCCAAGGGTGACACTGCTAACAATCATGATGACCTTTGGCTGTCCCCTGAGGAGCAGTGCCCTACATGCCCCACTAACCCAGACAGTGCTGCTTCGTGGCGCCAGCCGATCCCCGCTCCCTTGGGCCCCCAGCCCACTGCCCACGTGCCTCTGGCCCACTCCATCACTATAGTAAATGCCTGGGTCTGAGTAGAACAAAGGCCAATTAGGAGTCCCAGCTCTAGAGGCTGCAAGTCCTAGGTGGGCAGATCCATCACCTCACTTGTTAAAGACTCCAGGCCTAAGAGCCCGCCAGCTTCCTTTGCACACACAGGAAGCTCCGTCTATGGGAACCTCAACACCTAGCAGTGACCATGCAGGGTGGGAACCGAGGTGCTTGGGCTGGCTGCAGGGTGCCAGAAAGCTTCCTCCACCAGCCTGCGCACACAGTGGTGGGCACGTGCTGGGCTAGCCTGGCCTCACCCAGGGTGAGCACTGGGGCCATGTTCTTGTGATGGTCTGGTCACTAGAACCCCTTGGGACAAGGGACATAGGAGCCAGGGAGAGAACTGGCAGGGTGTCCATGGGACCTAGCCAGGCCCAGGCTGGCTGGCCAGGTCACTGCCACTTGTCTTGCTGCTGGGCCTACAAAATTGTCACCCCCACTGGGGAGAAAACTCGAACCTTCAGAAGGCCATGTCCGCCATGCGGACGCTTCCACAAATGGCACCATGCTTTGCTCAGCTTTCAGGATCTTAGAAAGTTCTTGCTAAAGTCAAGAGAGCAGAAAACTGGGGACCCTGGAGAACTACATGCTTGACCTCGGTCCTTCCTGTATAGGGGCTGCAGTGGTGGGCTAGAGTTTGGGATGGTGGTGGTCCTGGCAGTCCTAGGTGCAGGGCAGTGTGCAGTCCTGCACCTGCTTCCTGGGTGGGGCCCCGCCCAGGACGAGCTTTGGGGCGTCACAGCCCCACCATGGCCACGGCCCCCCAAGCAGGGGCTGCAGCTGGGGTGGGGAAGGTGCCGTCTGCACCCAGACTGCAGGGTCATGGCTGCTTTTTGTTACAGCTCGGGAAACAGAAGAAAAAGTACATGCCGTACAACCACCAGCACAAGTATTTCTTCCTGAGTGAGTTCCCTGGCCTACAGCAGGCCCCAGTGGAGCTGGGAGAGGTGGGGAGGGAGCCCACCCGAGAGTGGAGGTCAAGGTGAGCTCTGGGGCAGGCACCCAGGAGGCACAGAGCGGCAGGAGGGTGACAGGCCCGCCGCCTGAGCTCTCTCTGGAGGCCGCTGTGTCAGAGCTGCCCCGCGAGCCCCAAGCCTGAGCTGCGCAGCTTTCTTCTGGGTTTTTTTGGTTTTGTATGGAGAATGGAACTCAGGAGCTTGTGCTTACCCTCTGTCTCCTGGCCCTGGCACAGCTCTTGGTTTTGTTTTAATATTTATTTATTTATTTTGGGGGGGGCAGCTCAGCCCTCCAGGGGGCGGGGCTGGCTGGCATGTGGTGCTGGGGGATTGAACTGTGGTCCCTGTGCTTTGCTAAGCTTGTTCTAAGTATAAGTAGGTGCTTTAGACCATTGAGCCATCTCACCAGCCCACAGCTCTTTTTTAAAATATATTTTATTTTATTTTTGGCGAAACCTGGGATTGAACTCAGGCCCTTGCGCTTGCCAGGGAAGTGCGTATTCCACTGAGCCATCTCCCTGACCCTCTTTTTTTTTTTTTTTTAAAGTATTCATTTTATTTATTTGTCTGCCACAGGGTCTCACTACGCAGCTCAGACTCAGTAGCGATCCTCCTGTCTCAGCCTCCCCAGCGCTGGGATTACAGGCATGCGCCACCACACCTGTTTGTTAATTTTTATTTATTATACACAGCTTTCAATTTTCATATTTTTACAGGAAGGGAGGGGAGTGTTCAGTTGCAGGACGTTACCCCAGTTGCCCACTCCCAGCACTAGTGTGTCAGTCCAAGCTGGGGGATCTGAGGCAGGCATGTGACTTGTGCCGCAGATCCCCCACCTGCAGGAAGGGACATGGGGGACATGCGTGGTGCATAGGGTGTGAGTGGAGTCTTCAGCACACAGAGACTTTTCACGAGAAATCACAATCTCTGCTCCTGGCTGGTGACTCCTGGCTGCACGCTGGAGTGGCACAGGCCCGGCACCAAGGTCTGAGGCAGTGAGTGCAGTCGGTGAGGAGCCAGCGGGCTGCCCCAACACATGCAGGCATGTGCCACTTGTTCCAGATCCTGCCTGTGCCCTCCCCAGAGCAGCCGGGGCAGCTGTGGAGCAGGGTGTGGCCGTGGCCCCAGGGTGTTGGAGGCTGTCCTCGCCGGCGGCCGGCCTGGAAGCTTGGCGTGTCCACCGCTCACACACTTGTGCCCACCTCTCGTGCTGGTGGGGCTGTGTGAGGCGCTGAGGGGCGCTCGTGGCCGGTCATCTGCTCAGTGGCCCTCTTGCTGCTCACGCTGGCCCCTCTCCTTTCTCCCCAGTTGGGCCACCAGCTCTGCTGCCGCTCTACTTCCAGTGGTACATTTTCTATTTTGTCATCCAGCGGAAGAAGTGGGTGGTAAGGCCCCGGGCAGCCCGCGTTCTGCGTCCCCTAGTACTCTGGGAGGAGGAGCAAGCTGCTCTGGGGGAGACTGAGGCTGGCTCCAGGCCCAGTTTGCAGCGAGGCCAATTTGCAGCGAGGCCTAGCCCCAGGTAAAGCTGCCTCTCCAGCCTGAGGGAGGGAGTGGCCCTGGCTTGAGCTCAGCCGCTCCGAGGCCAAGGGAGCTGTGTGTGTGGTGGGGGAGCGTGTGCTGAGGCCGAATGGGATGATGCTGCAGGACGGGTCCAGTGCTGCTTGCCTGCAGGCCCCTTTCCCAGCGGTTCACGCGGGGTGGCCAGGAGCTGACAGGCAGAGGGAGGCGGCACCAGGCCGAGAAATGGGTGAGGCCACGTGGCCCCTGGACATAGCACAGAGACCTGGATGTTGGGATGAGCGTGGTCCTGGTCTCCAAGCAGAGGGGCTGGGGTTCCCTTGGTCGGGGTGCAGAGGGGTGGGCTGGGGTGGAAGACCCATGGGCCACAGCCCTGGGGTGCCGGGCAGGCACTGAGGCAGCCCCCTCTGCCTGGTGGCCCACAGGATCTGTTCTGGATGCTCACCTTCTACGTGCGCCTGACCCTCACCTATGTGCCCCTGCTGGGCCTCCAGGGCTTCCTGGGCCTATTCTTCATCGTCAGGTAGTGCAGGGCAGGGGCGTGGGGGGCCCTCCTGGGAGAACGCAGCCGGGTGGCTCACACTGGGGCCCTCGCCCACAGGTTCTTGGAGAGCAACTGGTTTGTGTGGGTGACACAGATGAACCACATCCCCATGCACATCGACCATGACCGCAATGTGGACTGGGTGTCCACGCAGGTGAGCCTGCCCCACGGCTGCGCCTGCCCTGCCAGCTGCTGGGAGGGCCAGCTCGGCTTGGCTGACATGGGACCCTTGCCCTCTGCAGCTGCAGGCCACCTGCAATGTGGAGCAGTCCTTCTTCAACGACTGGTTCAGCGGCCACCTCAACTTCCAGATCGAGCACCAGTGAGTGGGGCCCCGGGGGTGGGGCGTGGGGGAGGGGTCGGCTTGGGGAGGGGTGGGAGGGCCACTGACTCTGCTCTCCCCCAGCCTCTTCCCCACGATGCCCCGGCACAACTACCACAAGGTGGCGCCGCTCGTGCGGTCCCTGTGTGCCAGGCACGGCATTGCCTATCAGTCCAAGCCGCTGCTGGCCGCCTTCGCAGACATCGTGCGGTAAGCGCAGCATGCAGCCTGTGGGGGCCAGGGAGTGGAGGCGGTGAGGGCTGCGTCTCCTGTCCTCACCGCCTGCTCCTGTCTCTGCAGCTCACTGAAGGAGTCAGGACAGCTGTGGCTGGACGCCTATCTTCACCAGTAGCAGTGGATCCCCAGCTCCGCGTGGAAGAGGAAGCGGGCGCACAAGGGACACAGAGGGACACCCACTGCAGTGGGGTGTTGGGGATGTTGGGGGGTGGGGACACAAGGGCGGGGATGTTGTTTCCTTTACTACTTTAGTAGATGCAGGTGGGTGGTGAGTAGCAGGGACGGGAAAGGGGTCGGAGCAGGGTCCCTGGTCTACTTCTTAGTAACTCACCTCCCTCCCTAGTAGACCTCAGAGGGCAGGAGCAGCTGGCTGGAGTGCTCAGGAGGGGACCAGCCACCTCTCACCAAGGCCCTGAGAGCTCAGGTCTCCACCAGGTCCCTGTGCCTGCATTTGCAGTCCAGGGTCAAGAGGGCGAAGGCCAGGATTGTTGTCTGGAGACGTTTGGCCCACAAGACCCTGGTGCTGCTGCTATCTGGCTAGGGATCCATGAGGATTCTGTGGGAACCAGTGGAGGCCAGGGTGTTGTTGCTGGCTGTTCGAAACCCTCTTTGTCTCACCTCTAACCATGCGCCGGGATGCAGGACTCTTCCTGCTCCACTAGACGTGAGCAGACAGGGTGACTCGACCCCGGCCTGTCCTCCTCAGAAAGAAACGGGGTTCCCATCGGTCCCCATGGCCTCTGAAGCTGTCACTGGGTTGTAAGGTGGCAGTTGTGGGCACAGGTGTCAGGGCCCGGGCCATGAGGTGTGTGCAGGCAGTGTTTCCCACAGGAGCAGAGAGTCCATGAGTCACTCCTAGACTAAGGCAGAAATAGGAGGGCGACCAGCACAGGTGTTTGTGGCCGTCACTGCGTCTTGCTGTCAGCTTCTGTTTTAGTGTCTGAGTCTTGTGACCAAATGGGAATTTAGGGTAACTCCTTAAAAATATTCTAACACTAAATTTTTAAATGTTCTGATTTGCAAAAAATAAAAACTTGATTGAACTTATCTTTCCAGAGGGGCCAGAATATTCCAGAGGAGTCTCCCCAGGCCCCTGAGGCTACCGTCCAGCACTTACTCTTCCTACTTGGCTGCCACCTTTCTGTGTGGCCTGGAAGGCAGAAGTGGGGTCCGTGTTGACTGGGGCTGGCAGTCACGGGAACAGGGTGTTAGCCCGTGGGTTTAGGGGGGAAACAGCCTGTGCCCAGGCTGGGGGTCCTGGCGTATCCTATGCCAACCCAGAGAGCCAGGGCTATAGGGTTGAGCCACCTCATGGTGGCCCTGTTGGACAACCTGTTTGGGGACCTCCAGGCTGGGGGCAGGCACTGGAAGCAGTGTTGGGGTGCTTGCTGGTACCCAAAGCTCACTCCATAGAAGGTGCCAGCCCGGCCCGCTGCCTGTGCTGTGAACGTGGCATCCCCAGCCTAGGATGCCAGCTGGCCCTGGTCCCAGGCTGCGCAGCTGCACCACACCAGTGAGTGCCAATGCCAGGCTCGCGCCTGCACTGCCATAGCCTGCTTCACCTGTGGTATGGTTTCATATGGCTACAGGGGACAGTAACAAGACCCAGAATGCCCCAGTGTAATGGAAGCCGCTAACACCTTGCTAAACTGCTCGTTAGAGCTTTTTTTTTTTTGTACGGGGGATCGAACTTAGGACCTTGCACTTGCCAGGCAGATGCTTATGCTGCTGAGCTACAGCCCTGGCCCCAGTCCACAGGCAGAACCCTCGCAGGTCGCCTATGGTCATGCAGGTGGGGCGGAGGCGGCCAGGCCTGCCGCAGTTTCTCTCTGCTTCCATTGCTGCCAGGCCAGGATCTGCTGTGTGTGCCAGCGTTGTTTCCACATCCCGATAGCACAAAGCACGAGAGCAGTCAGCTGGCCCCGCGGAGGCTTGATTTATCACTGTGCTGTGACAGTTCCCTGTTCACTCCCCCGTGCACCTGCTTCCTGCAGCGCCCACTGTGCACACCTGAGACTGGAGGCATGGGGGACTCTGGTGACAGCGGGCCAGGGTAGTGTGTGGCAGGGCAAAGAGCCAGGTCCTAATGGGACCCCCCCCCCCACGCCAGGCTCTGCGCCCCTCCTCAAGAGGCTGTGCTTTAGCCCTTTCTCATTTTCCCTTTGGGCTGTCTCCCTTTACTGAAATCTTTTCTGGTTTCCTCGCGGTCGCGCCACCTAAACCTTGGCCACAGTGCTTGGTGCAGACGGCCCCCTTAACTGGATGGCCTCAACCGGAAAGGAATCTGCACTCCCTCGGGCAGGGCGGCGTGGCCCCGCAGTCGCGTCAGCAGCTGTACAGAGAATGCCAAGCCCAGCTCGAGACAGCAAGCACGCCTGTGCCTGCCACTGAGGGGAATCCCCAGGCGGGCGCACACTTGGCCTGAATCAGAAATGGAGATCAATGAAATCTGTGGCTCTGCTCCATCTGGGGAAGTCGCCCTCATTCATCTACTGCTGGAGTGGATTCCAAGGCAAATTCTGTTGGGCTGGCAAGGGAGACTTCCCTGCCTAGCTGCAGGAGTGCTTTCACCTGGAAGTCTCTTTTAAGAAATGTATTTAGTATAGGGTCTCACTACACAGGTCAGACTCCTAGTGATCGTTTTTTCAGCGTCCCAAGCACTGGGACTAGATGTGCGTCCTGGGGGTGGGGCCGGCACGCCTGCCTGCCTGCCTGCCTGCGCAGGCACTTTCATCCGCCTATCTGGCTGGCCCTTCACCTGGAAAACTGCCTGCTCCATCTAAAGGCTTAAACACCACTGTGCTTCACTCATTTTTGACCAATTTTGGATGGCTGTGTATCTTCAATTTAAAATGGCAGGTGGCATACCTGTGACACCAGCACTGGGGAGGCTGAGCCAGGAGGCCTGTTGACTGATACCAGCCTGGGCTACAGAGTGAGCTCAAGGCCAGCCTGAACTGCATTGAGACCCTGTCTCCAAAAGGGGGGTAAAAATGGAAATAGTGATGGGGATAGAGTTGACTGGCCCCCACCATGCTCTTCCAGGGAGGGGCACATTCTCAGAGTGGCTCTGTATCTCACAGGGCAGGTGGGGCAGAAAGTCTACTGAATTTATTAAAACTTGCAGCAAGAAGAACGAGCCATTCTTCCAAATGGCTGGCACCATAGCAGCTGCGGCCTCGCGGGGAGCACAGCGCCACCTCCTGGCCACTGGTCAAGCCAACATGTCTACCGTGGAAAGTTGGAAATGACGGGGAGAATTTTCAAATGTTTGCAAAGAACATCACATTCAGGGTACTTCTACCATTTTATTGATTTTCCCCCCATTCCCATCTAAAACAACAGCAGAAGAAACCAGTGTTCAATCTTACTCTGGGCTGACCGGCAAGGCCGGAAGAGCACACCAATGTACTCCTCTGCACAGCGCCCGAACGCACCAGGTCAGGTTCCCGCCACCTCACGATGCACACAAGCCTTGCTCCAAGCGCGGGGCCTCCTGCTCTCACCTGCCCGTCTCTTCTAGGCTGGGTCGAGGAAAGGTGGAGCGAAAAGAGCACAGCAGGTTCTGCCTTGGCCTCCCCTCGGCCCCCAGCTGGCCAGCCACAGTGCCCTGCCATCTGGTCCCCACCACCACCCTCCCCCTTCTGCTTTAAGACACACTGCTGTCACTATCACATGACACGGATCCAGTCCACCAGAGGTGGTGCAAGCCCAACACTTCCCTGAGCTACAAGAGGAAGCGGCAGCTTGGCAACCTTCCCACTGTGACCCCCGTGATAGGGAGGCACCGTGAAAAGGTGGCACGGGCGTCTTCCTCGCTGAGGCTTCTGAGGGTACGAGGGAGGCGCCCCAGGTCCGGGCACAGCGACTTTATTTCCCCCTTTTGAACTTGCCCACTGCCCCTGTCTTCGCCTTCTTCTTCGCAGACCCCTTGGGCTCTGGCTCTCTGCGTTTGGCTGAGGACAGCGAGCCGGTCACCTTGAAGAAGTCATCCAGCCGGCCCTGCGTGCTGCCCTGGCGGCTCCTGCTCAGCCGCCGGGCGCCGCTGCGGACCCGCTCCTCGGAGAACTGCTTCTCACCGCACAGGAACTTGACCAGCCCCTCCTCGTCAGGCTCGCTCCACTTCAGCTCCACAGACTCGGGGTCCAGCACCTCGGGCTCCAGGAAGAGCTGCTGCGCCTCCCGGTGCAGCCAGTTCTCTGGCACTGGGTGCTTGCTGGGGTCAAGCCGCCGCACGATCTCCTCAATGCTCTTGTGCTTCTGGATGAGGTCCACTGCGCGCTTGGGCCCGATCCCCCGGATGCTCTCGCAGTAGTCACTGCCCAGCAGGATGCACAGATCCACAAACTGCTCCTGGGTCAGGCCCAGCGCCTGCAGGACGCGACCCAGGTGGAACTCCTGGATGGGCAGCTTCTTGGCCTCGCTGGCAGTCAGGTGCCGCATGAGCACGGGGCTGCCGAAGGTGAGGCAGTCCATGTCCTCGGTGGCCGCAGCGTAGACCTTGCCGGCCTTCACCAGGGCGGCGCAGCTGGCCTCCGCCTCGCTGGGGGCCTCGAGGTGTGGGATGCCCATGAGGCTCAGCAGGTGCTTGCACTCATCATTGTGTTGTTTTGTGACCTTCACCAGCCGCTTGGTGAACTTCTCCACCTCCTCCTCCGCCCCGGCGGCCTGGGCCTGCTGCAGCTGCTTCTCTGCCTCCGCACGCCGCTCGCCACGCTTGGCCAGCTCGCCTGACTTGAGCTGCGGCGGCTTGCCGTCGAAGACGTACACGGGCTTGATGCCATTCTCCATCATGCGGATGGTGCGGTAGAACATGCCCATCAGGTGGCTGGTGGTCTCTCCCTCCTCGTTCTGCAGCGTTTCCCCACCCTGGCGCACAGCAATCAGGAACTGGTAGATGCTCATGGAGGCGTCGACGGCCACCTTGCGGCCAAAGTAGCTCTTGATGTCATTCTCCCGGATGGCGCCCGGGGCCACGTCTGCAATTAGCTTGGCCAGGCCTTGAATCCCCATGGCTGAAAGGGAAAGACAGGCAGAAGAGAGGCTTTAGGCACCTGCAGTCTAAGCCCAGTGTCACTCGGCAGGTGACAGCCAGCTGATTCTCCTGAATAAATCTGGTAAAGCTGTTTTGTTGTAAGAATTAACAAAAATCGACACATGCATACTTGGGAGGCTGAGGCAAGAGGATCACCGTGGGTTTGAGGCCAGCCTGGGCTACACAGTGAGTTCCAGGCCACCCTGAGCTGCACAGTGAGACATGGAAAAAACCCTCCCCCAAAACACCTCTGGCTAAGTACACATTAGGAGCTGATTTGATACTTGTAGGAATCACACACTGAAAACAGCATTCCCTTTATCAGCTAAGCAAGTGTGCCTGCTCCCTGTCCTGTCCCACTCCGAGAACTCCGAGGTGAGGGCCGTATCTCACACGTAGTTGTCTCACATGCTGCTTTAATCCGCCCTTCGGCGCCCCTCAGCACACAAGCTTCTGCTTTCATCGGAATGTTGCTGGGAGTTTTCAATCTTTACCTTTGTATTTTCTGTCCACCACTAATTCTGAAACGTGAGACCCTCGGCTCCTTCCCTTCGCAGGGCACCCATGTTTCTGTCACCCTGCCCAGTAGGGTGCTCCTGCCAGCCCTTCCCTGGGCAGTGATTCCCAAACCACCCCCACAGCTTCTGCCACTTCCAACCAAGAACCAAACTTTCATTCACCTAGTATTTTCTCTAAATGGACCCTACTTTTTTTTTTGTATTTTAGTAAGGGTCTACAGGGTCTCACTACGTAGATTGGACTCGTAGTAATCTGCCTGTGTTCAGCCTCCCAAAAACTGGGATTGCAGGCACATGCCACCACACCCAGTCTCAAAGACCCAACTTTTAAAATGAGCTGAAAAAGAAATACATGTTATGGGCTGGAAAGATAGCTCAGTGGTCTAAGTTCCTACCTGGCAAGTGCAGGGACCCAGGTTCAATCCCCAGGTGCAAAAAGCCAGCCACCAAAACCAGGAACGGTGGTGCACACCTGTAATCCCACCGCTGGGAAGGCTGGGTATCACTATGAGTTCCTGCTGCGGAGTGAGACCCTGTACCAAATACATTAAAAAAAAAAAAAAGAATTCATCTTAGGGAATATTTATATTAGCTATATTTTAATATGTGCCAAATGTATAATTATTAAATAAAGATATTTTAGGCTGCGCATGGTAACATACACCTGTAATTCTAGCTACTTGCGACTGAGGCAGAAGGATCATAAATTTGAGCCCTGCCTGGGCAACTTGAGACTCTACCTCAAAATCAAAGAAAGTCGAACGGGCTGGGGATGTAGCCAAGGGTGAAGGCCCTGGGTTCACTCCACACTACTACAATAAACAGAAGCTTAGCGTGCACTTAAAGGCGTCTGGGCAGCAACCGAAGGACTATCCTACCCGCCTTCTAGTAGCTCCCACTCTCCAGAGCACGAGTCAGTGACTGCAGTACTCCTATTCCTGGTCAGGTCCCAACAGCGCCGCAGGCATCGACATCTTCCAGGCTCCGGCTCCCGCCACACCAGTTTGGTTCCCCCGGAAACAGCGGTGGCGGCCCTAGTGGGCCTCTGTCCTAGGTTCCTGCAGCCACCAGCGCGCCTTTATCAAGTCACTTGTGCTAGGTTTCCTCGTTCACTAACTAAGGATGGCAATCTCGCCTGCCTAGCAGGATTCGTGCTAAGAGGAACGGCGGCAGCAGACGGACAAGCTCCGCGCAGCACCTGGCGCTCTGCAGACGCTCCCAAGCGACGGTTCGTGGGATGGTGCGCCCAGCGCCGCGCACGCCGCCCCGTGGCCGTTCCTCCTCCTGCGACACCCGGCCCCGCACCTGGTCCCAGACACGCTTCTACAAAGCACACGCCGCGAGCCGCTCGGCAGGCGCTACGATCCCCGTCCTGCGAGAGGAGAAAGGCCCGGGGTCCCGCCAATGGCCCAGGTCTCAGCCGGAGGCGCGGGCCGGCCGGCTGGCAAGCCGCGCGCCGCCACCTCCAAGGCGACCCCGCCCTGGGGTCTCACCTGAGCCTCGGCAGTCGGCCCTGGTCGCGCGGCGCGAAGCGAGGGCCGAGACCGAGTCCTCCGAGCTTACCCGCCGCTCAGCGTCCCCGCGCCTTCCAAAGCCCGCGCACGCGTCACGTGACACGCCCGCCGCGCACAGCCTCCCGGGAAATGTCGTGCACCCCGCGCCCGGGTCCGCGTCCTCGGGCCGTGTGCGCCAGCCGGGGCAGTGCTCTCTCCCGGTGCCCCGCCCCAGCCCTCGGCCCCGCGAGTTCCCACCCCGCCGACTCTCGGGCTCCTAGGTCAGCCACCCTACGCGCCCCCAGGCCTCGGGACTACAAGTCCCACAAAGCCCCTCGCGCGGGCACGTCCTCTTCCGGCGCGCGAGGCGCGGTTCCTGCCGACGTGTTCTTCCGCTGGCGAGCGAAGGCGTAGGCTGTGCTAGGCGAAATGGTGAGAGAGAGGACTGGGGAGCGCCCCTGGGCTGCGAGGAGCCCGCGTCCCACGCCACGTTCTCTCGTGGAGGCCTCGGGACCCTGATGCCGCATCCCAGCTGGACCTGGCGGGCGGAGGATGCCCCGGCGGGGCTCCTCGGGCGGAGGGCTGGAGCGCCGCGGGCTTCCGAGGTCGCCGTTGCGGGGGCGGGGGCGTGGTGGGCGCTGGATACCCGCGCGCGTGCAGCTGTCGCCTGCCTCGCCGTCTAGAGTGTCGCCCCCACCGCCCGAACTCACTCCCAGGCCCGGGCAAGTGTCTCGCCCCCTGAAGCCCGGGGACTCGCAGGCCCGGGCCGCCGCCTCCCGGGAGCGCCCAGCGCCGTGCAGACCTCTCCGCGTGTCGTGGGCTCGTGGTCATCCGCCGCGCCTGCTAGGGCCCGCCATCTGACGCGCTGCTGGCTCTAGGACGAGCTCTATTCATCTTTGTATTCCCAGCACAAACACAGGGCCTGCGAGTGGAGCCCCAATAAATGGCAGCGATTGTCCTCATTGCTCCAGGGGGCTGGGGGGCACATAATTGTTTACTGGGTTGGACTCCAGTGTCTCTTCGAACAATGGGATCCGTTTACTTCTCTGGAGTTGTTATGTTCTCGGTCTCAGGAGCATTGGCGGTCGGGTGACAATGGAAGTTAACATTTGTCCAGAGCTTGACGTTTGCAGGCCTCTTTCACAGGCGTTAGCTCATAAGCGCCCCTGCGACCTTAGAAGGAAACAGACACACCTGTGGAGCATTGAGCACGATGTGCCCGCATTGGTCATCTTAGGTCAGACAGCAGCCCCGAGGGCTACGTAGAGTTGTGTCCTCCTGACAGGTGATTGGCGGAGCCAGAGTTTAACCCATGTCTTCTACCTATAGTTCCTGAGTTTTGAATTACAAATTATGGGCTGGGTGCCCGTCTAGGCTCTTAGAGCAGGGATTAGGAGCTCAGAATCTGTTGACACTGGCTCACAAGCTCCAGAAATTATGGACAGGCTTTTTCTTCTATGTGTTTTTCCCAGGCAGAGCCCACGGCTTGCCTCACCTTTTCATAATGGTTGTAGGCCTCGGAAGATGCTAAGGACCACTAATTCGCTGCCCCCGTGTTGCGGTCTGTGTGGTTGCCAACTTTAAGACCCAATTGTTGCTGGGTTTGGTGGTGCACACCTGTAATCCCAGCAATCAGGAGACTGAGGCAGGAGGATCACTGCAAGTTTGAGACCAGCCTGGGCTACAACATGAGCTCAAGGCCAGCCTGAGCTGTGTAGTGAGACCCTGTCTCAAACAGAAGAGATGAAATTGTCACTGTCATAGTGCATCATGAGCTGTTGGTTCTTGGAGATCTCTACATTTCCCAGGCAGAGATGGGCCCCTGTCAGTCACAGCCGCGGCTCTCCAGGCCGAAAGGGTGGGGTTCTTGTGTGACTGACCCCATGCTTCCCCTAGGAGCTTGAGGCCATGAGCAGATACACCAGCCCTGTCAACCCGGCTGTCTTCCCCCACCTGACCGTGGTGCTCCTGGCCATTGGCATGTTCTTCACCGCCTGGTTCTTTGTGTATCCTTTCCTGATCAGCCAGTGGGCCAAGTGAGTGGTGGAGGAAGCTGAGAAGCACCCTGCCAGCTCTGTGTTGAGGTGGGAGCAGGACAGGACTGGTGACGGCCGAGAGCCGCTGCAGCTGTGATTTCCAGTTCAGGTGAGCTTGGTGTGCTCTTGAGACTGGAGGCAGCGGCCGGGAGCCGAGGTTGGAAAGGTGGGATAAAGCAGGGTAGAGCCAGGTGTCAGGAAGGCTGAGGGCTGGCCCGGCTCTGTCAGGAGGAGCTGTGACCCCGGGCAGGGGGCTGAGCCCAGAGGCCTTGTGTCTACATGGGCAGTGGTAGGGGAGCAGAGCCCAAGTCAGCCCATGGCCCCTCCCTGGGTGCATCAAGCCTAATCCCTCAGCCAGCACCTTCCTGCCCGGTGCAGAGCCAGACAGCTCCCTGCACTCTGCAGTCCTGCTTATCCTTAACAGTCCTGCCCAGCTACGAGGTCACCTCCACCAAGTACACGCGGGACATCTACAAAGAGCTTCTCATCTCCCTGGTGGCCTCGCTCTTCATGGGGTTTGGTGTCCTCTTCCTCCTGCTCTGGGTTGGCATCTACGTGTGATTCTCTGGGGTAAGAGCTGTGATAGGTGGGACAATCTAGCCTCCAGGGGCAGCCACGGAGGGGGGGTCTCCAGACTCCCCAGCATAGCCCCAGGACTCATAGAGAGGGACTCTGGACACACGCCCCTGCCCCTCCACTCACGGGGCTTTGAGCCTTGTGATCTGCTTGGTGACCCGCTAGTCAGTGCCATGGTCTCCACACACCATGGCCCCTAGGGAAGGATGTGGCCAGGGTGAGTCGTGCACCTGTGACTCACGAGGACTGCTGTGTATGGGCCCCCCGACAAGGCATGGGGAGTTGCCCAGGTGACCCAACCACAGAAGAGTGCTGTATGCCTGCCCACCTGGCAGTGTGGGCTTTGGCGAGAGGAGGGAAGAAGGGGCTTTGGTCTGCCTTTCACACCCCTCTCCTCTCCTCTTTCAGGTACCCCAGGAGGCTTCGCTGAATCTCTGCTTTTATAAATTAATTTTTTACTGATGTCAGAAGTGTCCCATCTGCTGGTCACAATAAAGGCAGATGGTGACAGTCCTGTCCTGCACCCCTTCTGTGGGGTAGGGGCAGGGCTCCCCTCTCCTGTTCCTCATCTGTCCTTCCTGTGGTTCCTGCTACTGTGGGTGGCCTGTGGAGGAGCATTCTAGAACAGGCTGATCTAGGAGCCTAGACAGGCCCTCTGCCCCTGGAGTTCCAGCCCGCCATACGGCCACCCTTGGTGGAATCCTTTCACCAGGTGCAGCTTGCCCCCTCCAGGCTCTGCTGTCCCGAGTGTTTCCTGGCCAAGTGGCTAGGTGTAGGAGCCAGGGGAAGTCGTGTGTGTACAGGAGCCATGTGGCATCTTGGTGCAGTTCCCGTGGCTCCAGCTCATGGGGCCTCCCTCTCCCACCAGAGCGCTCAAGAAGAGAGCAGGAGGCAAGCTCAGATACAAAGCAGTATTTGTACATTTATTTATATATGTATATTCACTTGAGAGAAGAAATGAGCAGCTAGGGGACCAAAGAGGGTGCACGATAAATACGAGAGGGTGGGAGCTGAGTGGGGTGGCACTGAGCAGGCTGCTGGGGGTTTGCAGGGGTCAGCTTGGGGAGGCCCTATGTACAGCCAAAGCCAGGGGACAGGCAAGAAGGCCCCAGGGTAGGAGGCAGGTGGCCACTCACTTCTCCCACCCCTTTATACCTGGGGCTTGGGGCAGCTTTGGTCCAGCATTCACCCCGTTGGGCAGTGGGAGCTGTGGAAGGGCCCCAGGGGCAGAGGACAGTCACTCTCCAGTTATGGGCCCTCAGGCCAAGCCCCTGTGCCCCCAGCACAGGGAGTCTCAGTCTTGCCCAGGGGCAACTATAAGACACTGGCAGGGTGGCTTCCCATAGGACGGGGCAGGGGCCTAGAGCACCCTGCAACCCTGGGAACGGCTTGGGAAGGCCCTAGGTCAGGATGAGCCCCCTGCCTCCAGGGTAAGTGCTTTGAGGGCTCTGCAGAAGGGGCCCTCGCTCTGGGCTTCCACAGAGCAGGAGGGACCACCTCTTCAAGCACTGCCTGGGCAGCGCGCACAGTTGGGGGCAGAGTGAGGTGCTCCAGGCACCACTGCCACACAGAAATAGGTGTGCACCTAGAGCCTCTGACCTGCTTCCCTCTGTACTCCCCACCATGTGCCACTGCTCTGGAGACAGGGCACCCACAGGGGGAGCCAGGGAGAAGCCGGAGCCATGGGGTACACGAGGGTCTGAGCTCTGGGAGGGCCAGGGCCAGGGTCTGTGTCTTCAGAGGGCTCACCCAGGGCTGTCTGGCCCACCTGTCCTCCCAGCATGGTTGCCTGTCACTAACTGCAGTATGCCTGCTCCGAAGGCTGAGGCCAGCAGCCCCACGGAGCCCTTTCTGGGATGCCCCAGGCTTCCTGGGCCTGGCTCAGGCTGTAGGGTTGGGGTGGTTTCATCAGGCGCCAGGTAGATGTAAGGCACAGGCACCAGCCATCCAGGGCTGGCTTGGGCAGCCTCAGGCCACACTTCAGGCTTGGGGCAAGGTCCACCATAATGGTCACCCCTCCAAGCTGTCCCCGTGGATTCCTGGGGGTCAGTACCGTGGGGCCCCAGCAGGTCTCTGGCTTAGAGGCCACTGTGGTTGAGTTGGCCCTGCCCTGCCCTGGGAGCTGGCAGGTAGGGAGGCAGCTCCAGTGTAAAGACTTCAGTCTCCCAGTCCTATCCCTGCAGCGTGTGACAGCCACCAAGTGGTGACACCAGCTCCAGTGTAATACTGTGTCCAGTGAGGAGGGCCAAGGCCCAGGCCCAGTATGGCCACCTCGGCCGCTCAGGGACACAGGCGGTAGAAGTGGAAGTAGTAGTCTGTGGCCCGCATGGCCTCCGAGCTGCAGTTGGCCTGACCCTGGGTGGAAGGTGGTGTGAGAAGGCTCAGGAGCTCCCAGCTCCATAGCTCCCTGCCCCACTAGAGGGGGGTGTGCGGGGGGACAGGTGGGTCCTCACCAGCAGTGCCACGCGGAAGTGGTAGGTGAATTCACGGGCAGGCAGGATGGTGACTGGCCACTCATGGGCGGTGCCCTGCAGAGTAGGACAAGGGTCAGCCCCAGCCTGTCCCACCCCTGGGAATTGGGGCGCTTTGAAGAGATGAGAGGAGGGCTGGCCCAGCCTCCCCCTGCGCACAACCCTGTCTTGCTCCTAACCGCGCCCCAGCCCAGGAACTGGCTCAACCCACCCTCCTAGTTACAGGTGAGGAAACTGAGTCAGGGTCCTAAACCACAGTATGACGGCTGGGGTTTGAACCCAGGGCTCCCTGGTGCAGCCTCCCACTGCAGCTTGCCGGGCCCCTATCAGGAACAGCCAGCCCGTGTCTGTGGTGTCTGGGGCGCAGGCGTCCCGGTTCTTGGGTGCTTCTCTCTCCACCTCTTCCCTCACTGGCACCTTCTGCTTCCAGAGCTCCTGCCCGCACAGAGCTTGTCCTTGGAGGCCACTGCCCGAGTGCTCTGCTCTCACCTAGGTGGGGGCCAGGCCTGGCCCTCATGGAGGCCCCCAGAGCCGCTTGCTGAGCAGGCAGTGAATGGGTGTGGGCTCGAGTCTTCTCTGTGGGTTCTTACGCCCTACCAGTCTCAGTGCCTCCCTTTACGGCCCTCACGTTGATGACACGCCCACCCTGGTCCCTGCGCCTGAGAGGTGGACAGTGAATAGAGCTGGCCGGGTCCCTTGTGGAGGTGCCGGTTCCACTCAGTTGCTCTCGCTGTCCAGGGAAGAGGGTCAGGGCTGCAGCCACAGCTCCTCCGCTCTTACCTGAGTCTCTCTGGGGGGATGGGGGAGTTGTGGGACGCCCCCCTCCTCACACGGCTCCGCTGCTGACGTCAGGCTGCACAGCACCACGGACGCAGGCACGGAAGAGCTGGGGGGGAGCAGGGTGAGCAGGAGGTGGGGTCCTTGCACCCACCCTGCCCCATCTCAAGTCCCACATGGCTCACTTCATCTCCAGGGTCAGGCTGAGGTGCACTGGCGTGCGGCTGCTCACTGGGATGTGGTAGGTGAAGTTCCCAGGCCTGCAGGGCAGAGGGAGCTGAGCCAGGCTTGGCCGTGGGGCCCCTGCCCACCTGGAGGGCCCCGGTGGGGGCAGCCCACCTGCAGGCCGCCTCCGTGGCACAGTGCCGGGCCGTGATGGGCGTTGCGCTCTCCAGCACCTGGATGGAGGTCAGGGAGGGCCCTGGGTGTGTGGGAAGAGAGGCCATTGGCGGGCCGGGCTCAAGGCAGGACGGCTGCCAGGCCCCTCACTTGCACCCCACTGTGACTGTCAGCACACAGTGCTGCCACACGCACACAACGTCGTCGCTGCACAGGTCCTGCCCCGGGCGCCTGAGCAGCTGGCCCTTCCCTCTCCCGCCCCTGGTGGCGCCACAGCGGCGGCTGTGGTCACTGCGCAGGACCAGTCTTGAGAGCCACAGTGGGCACGCCAGCCCCCACCGCAGCCCCCACCCCACGCCGTTCCCAGCGTGCTGGCCTGGGCGCAGGCCTCCCTGTTATTCTGGGAGTGGGGCACAGGCCCACTGCCCTTCCACCTCCTGCTGGACCCTCTACTTTGATGTAGCACCACAGGCCGCTACCATGAGTAGCCGGGCCAGGTGCCAGGCCAGGCGTGACGGACAGCGCTTGTCCCTCTTCGCGTGGCCCTCCCAGGTAAGCCTTGTCTGTCACCTCCCTCTGAGCCTGCTCACTGCTGCCACCTCTGCAGGCTCTCTGGGGGCAGCAAGTGTCCACGCCGCCCTTAGGGCCGTGGCCCAGGAAACACTGCAGGACGACCCCCACTTGGGGTCACTGTCACTTTGAACTTCGGCCTGTAAGTCACCCTTCAGGCCTTTTTGTTCTTGAACCATGGAACTTAGTGGTGAAGGTGACAGACGGCTGTGCAGACAGCTACCCACGCCCACAGGCAGCTCCCGGGCACCTGCAGAGCCCAGTTTGAGAACCGCTGAAATTACAGGATCTCAGAAGGCCAGGCGTAGTGGTGCACACCTGAATCCCAGCACTCTGCGAGGCTGAGGCAGGAGAATCGCAAGTTCCAGCCCAGCCTGGGCACCGTAGTGATTCAGTTAGACCCCACCGCAAAATAAGAGAGAGAGAGAGGCCAGGGCTCAGTCTGCAGTGCCACACGTGCGGTCTTAACGCCGCTGCAGGTTTGAGGCTGGGGGGTCTGCGGCCCTGAGCAGCGCAGTGACTAGGCAGCTCAGCAGGCAGGTGGGCTCCCCCACTGCCCAACCCCACACAAGCCGTTCCCTGAGGTCTTCCCCCCTTGGCGGGCACAGGAGGGCTTGCTTGCACCCTCAAAGGAGGGCTGGTGAGCCATGCTGATTGCAGAGAGTGTTGTGACGGTGTGGCACTGTGGGATGGGCCACAGCCCTGTGGTCCAGGGGGTGCGGGGAGGCAGGTACCTGGCTGGCCTTGAGTCGCAGAGGGGCCAGGTGGGGGGAGTGCTCGGCGGGCCCGGCCGTGGAGCCTGAGACTGGGGCTGTTCTTTGCCTTGCTCAGTCCCCCGGGGAAGGGAACTGCAGGGCTGGCTGCAGGCTCCACGGCCTTGGGGTGCTTGACATGGCCGATGCCGTTGGCGGAGATACCCCAGGACTTGGCCCTGATGTTGGTGACGGGTAGCGGGGCCACCTGGCCAGGGCCTGTGGGCAGAGCCAGGGCAGGTAGGTCAGCACTGGCACCTGTGTGGCTACCTGGAGCTTGGAGTCCATGCCCCCAGACCCTCTCAGGGCAGACCTTGGGTCCTGCTCCTGGCCCACAAGGCCTTCCCACCAACAGGTCTTCCTGGTGTTTCTCCAAACTGCCTGGCCTTACCTGCCTGAGAGGCTGCACCTGAGTGGTTGGCGGCCAAGCTGGGGCTGGGACGAGAGGCTGGGGCAGGGCTGGAGGTGGTAGCACAGCAGACAACAGGGCAGGGCTGGCTGGGACACAGGTCCAGGGCACGGATGGCTGGCCCCTGGGTCGTGGGGCTGGGGGTCTCTGAGGAAGTGCAGATCTGTGTGAGCCCAGAACATGGTCCCACATCACCCGGCCCACTCGGCTCACCCAGCCGGCCCAGCCCAGCCCAGCCCGGTGCACACCTGACAGCAGAGAGGGCCGCATGCCTGGCAGCCCAGTGGTCATGGGAGCCTGGCGGAGCTGTGTGGTCCCAGAGCTCTGGCTGGACCTGCTGGGGAAGGTGGGCTTTCAGGGGTGGGGCTGCGGGGAGGCTGGGCAAGAAGCCAGAAGGAGGAAGGTGGAAAGGAGGCAGGAAGGCGCGGCGGCTGCACATACCATGCGCACAGGGCCGCACTCCCCCCAGTGTACTGGGGCCGGAGCAGGGCCAGCAGACATGATGAGGACGTGGCAAGAGAGCTAGGTGTGCAGAGGCCGAGAGGGACAGGCACAGGGAGGAGAGAGAAGGCACAGTCAGAGGCAGCCTGGGAGCAGGGGACGGTGGGCCATGGCCTGAGGCCTACCCTGGCTCCTTCCTGCCCCAGAGCACTGGACCCAGGGTGAGCAAGGGCCTCGGACAGTGCCCCCAGCACCCAGCACACCCCACACATACCCATCAGTGCCCACCAGGTCCTCCTCGGCACGCAGGCTCAGCACGTACAGCGTTGACATGGACACCACGCTGGCAGCCCCAGGACAGGGTGACTGTCAGAGCCAGAGCCGCCAGAAGCGCCCCTGGGGTGGGGAGGGGGGCCCTTCCCTGGAGACCTTGGCCGCCTCCCATGCCACACCCCAGGGCCCCCGGGTGTCACCTGAAGGCCATGACTACCACCAGGGCAATGATGGTTCCCTGCAGGAAGCGCTGGCTGACACAGGCTTGGTCAGGGATCACGGAGGATGTCTGAGCAGGGGAATGGAGAAGCAAAAGGAGACTGCGGCAGCCTGTGGGGTGGGGGAGGGACCCCAGCCCGCCCGCGCTCACCTTGCTGGGCACCTTCGGGGGCCTCTTTCTGTGGGGGACACTGCCTGCCCGGCTGAATTGGCTGCCGCTGTGGCTGCGGGGAGGGCCAGCTCAGGTTGGGCCTGCGAGCCCCGCGGCCAGTCCCCCCACCCTGCCTGCCGCTACCGCTGCCGCACACCCACCTGAGGGCGCCTGAGCTGCCGGTGGACTTGAGGCTGTCGAGGCGCCGCAGCTTGGCCAGCCTGTGGCTCCAGCGCTCCAGCTCATCGATGCGCGTCTCCAGGTTGTCCGTGAGCTTGCAGAGCTCTTTCACGGCACCCACATTCTCCATGAAGATGCGCTCCTGCACCCCACAGGCATGCAGTGAGAGGGGACCCACTTCCTGGGCCCGGCGAGCACATGCGCCTCAGTGGTGTGGCAGTGGTGACTGTGGCCCTGCCACACAGGGCCCTGCACCCAGCCTGTGGTGCCTGTGTGCTGCTCCCTGTTGGTGGGTCTGAGGGCCCCCTCCCGCTCAGCCCGGATCCCAGCCGCCTGCCCACCTTGTTCACCACCAGGAAGTTCTCCACAGTCTTCCCATTGGCAAAGACCACGTCCCCGGTGTCCCTCACAGCCTCAGGCAGGATCTCCTTCACCTCCTGGGCAATGACACCTGTGCACCAGCAGGCATGGGCCCCTCAGACAGGTGTGCCCCAGGACACAGGTGTGGGGGTGCTGGAACCAGTGGTCTTGGGAAAGGGCAGCTTCCCAGGAAGTGGGGGCCCATACCTCCAGGGGCCAGGAATCAGACTTCTGGTTTAAGGGGTGAGGCTCCAGGGCTAGTGGAGGAGCCCCTGGGAGCAGGAAGCCAGGATTTTGTGGGGCAAGGTGCTGGGGCCCCTACCAGTCTCAGGTGCTGTGGCCTCGATGCCCGCACTGGCGGCGAACTCGGGCTTGTAGCGGTAGTGCACCAGCCGCATGCGTGAGATCCGCTTTAGCTGCTCCGTGGTGTCCACCTTCAGGAACAGCCAGCCTGAGCCTAGCAGGTGGGCGGGCTGGACATAGACAGCAGACCCAGCCCCCACCCGCGCTGGGGGGTGCACCCCGGCCCCTGCCCTCCTCCCCAGCCACCCACCTCCTGCACCAGCTCCTTGGCACGCAGGTCCGAGGGCTGCAGCAGCGAGCCCATGACTTTGACGTTGCCGTGCACCACCAGTGCCTCGTCTGGCCGGTCGGTGTTGATGCCCACGCGTCCGTGGTGGAAGACTGTGTCGGGCAGCTGCGCCCTCTGCCACAGCACATCACTGTCGCTCTCAAACTGGCCTGGGTTGGAAGCCTAGGTTAGGTCAGGTTGGGGCTGAGTCAGTCCTGGGAGATGGATGGAGACCGCAGGGTCCTGGGAGGGGAGCCCCAAGCCGCTCTCCCAGGCCCCTCCAGCCTCCTCACCCGCTGTCCAGAGGAGTTGCCCTAGTCATAGGACAGCTCCCAGCTGCTGTGGCCTCCCCCAGGAGGCTGAGGCATCTGCCCTGAGCTACCTCTAGATCTCACCCCAGCCCACAACCACCACCCACAGCCATCAGCCTGGTGGGCAGCAGGGGCCTCACCCGCACAATGATGCGCTCTGAGATCTGTGCGGCCAGCGTGTAGTTCTGGTTCTGGGCGTGGGCCTGGAGCGCCACCACCAGCATGAAGTACCTGGACACACAGGCCAGGCACGCGGGGTCGGCCGTCAGGAAGCCTGTCCTCCCGCGTTGTGGGCAGACGTGCTACGAGGGGCCGACGTTGGGCCACCACTGCCTCCACCCCTTGGTCCCCAGGGCAGGGCAGGGCAGGGCAGCGGTAGATGGGCCCTTGGACCCTGTGGGTGGTGGCCTGCCTCACCTCTGATCAGGGTTGGGCTTGCCCTTCTTGCGCATGTTGTTGGCAGTGGTCTCGCTGAAGTGCAGGCGCCCCACGGTCACCTTCGTGACCTGCTCTGGGGGCAGATTGACCCTGCAGAGGAGGGGCAGGTGCTCAGGGCAAGAGGGAGCTGCGCAGCCAGGCCAGAGTGGTCACCGGACTGGGAGTGCATCCGGCGGCCCCGACGGGGACACTCACGTGACGGGGTTGAAGGGCCGCTTGCTCCGGTCAGACTGCGACTGCTCGATGTTGATGGACTGGTTCAGGGCCTCCAGCTGGGGGCACAGGGTGGCACTCAGGGGGGCCACCTGGTTCTCAGCCTCTGACACCTGGCCAGGTGCGGAGCCCAGCCCACATCCCTGGGCCTTTGGGAACCCACCAGCCTGGGGGCCACCCCTGCCCTCGCTCTACCACTCACACAGCCCTGCACCCTGCCTGAGCCCCTCCTGCCCACGTCCCCAGCCTGTCACAGTGGGGGGGCTAGGGGCCAGGCTCTGGGAAGGGGAACCCTAGATACCGCAGCCTCCACAGGCTGAAAGGGCAGAAAGTACCAGGCAGGCTGGACTACAGGTGGGCCCAGGCCCCTACAGGAGCTGTGGCTGTGCCAGATGGGCACCAGGCCTCAGAGGGAGGCAGCCGCTATGAGCTGTGTTGCAGGTGGGGCCTGGGAAAGGAAGGGCCCAGGAGAGGATGTTGCAGGGGAGGTTCCTGGGGAAGCCAGGGCGAGAGCGGCGTGGGGACCCCGGGGTCAGCAGGCCGGGGGGGGGGGACCTGGAAAGTGGGTAGCGGGCGGGCCAGGCTCTCGGGGACCCAGCCCCCCCCACGCCCCGCCTAGCACCCCGCCTGCCTTCACTCCATGCAGCTTCAGGTAGAAGCAGTCGAGCGGCTTGAGGCCCTCAGGCGTCTTCACGAACTTGGGCTCCCCCAGCACTCCGATGTACACGGTAACCTGGAAGTGGTTCTTCTTCTGGCATACAAAGGCATCGTCCCCCACGGAGAAGTTGAAGCCCTTGTCAGCATCCACGCGGTATGTGAGCATAGGCCTGGGGGCAGCCGGGAATGCGTGGGGTCACGGGGTGCCTGCGCTGGCCAGGGACCCCAGCCTGTACCCCACGGCCCTCCTTCCTGCAGTGAGGGGCTGGCATGTCCCCAAAACGGAAACCGAGTCTCAAGTGTCTGCACACACTTTCCATGTGCGCTGGTGACAGGACGCAGGCGGGACCCAGAGCCCCCAGAGGGAAGGAGCTCTGGGAGGTGCTCCACGCCCCCACCATGCCCGGCCCCCCAGGAGGGGCCATACGGCTGGGGGCCGTGTCTGGAGAGCCTCACCGGGCGGGCCTGACAGCTGGTTGCCATGGGAACGGCGGAGCCCGGTGCTGTCTCTGCAGGCCCAGCCCCTGCCCACGGGCTTGTGTGAGCCCCCCAACTTCTGCCTAGGAGGGAGGAGGCACTTCGAGACTCTCCCTGGGCCCCTGCCGAAGCTCACCCACGGGCTGCTCCTTGGCTGGCTCCTTAGGGGAGCCCCAAGTGGCACTGAACGGTGCAGCAATTGGCCTCTGTCCTGTCCCCCCTCACAAATCCTGCAAAGTATGCTCTGCTGCTCACAGGCACCCCTCGGGGGCAGGGAACCCATTCCTATTCCCAGATCACCCCTTTTCCCTCTTGGGGCCCAGGGAGGCCACTCACCCAGGCTCTGGGCCCAGGCCTGTGCAGCTGGCTGGGTCAGCCGCAGGAGCATGGGGGAGTAGGAGTTCCACCAGGACAGCCCTCGCGCTATCCCACCTCAGGGGCCACCTCAATGGCACCTCCACTGGACCCTGCCCAGGCCTGGGGGCCTCCCACGGGAGTTCTGTGCCCCAGGCGCCAATGCCGGAAGGCTACCTCGCCTGGGCCTGGCACTGTCCAGAGGGAGCAGGAGCCAGCTACCCTGTTCCCCACCCAGCCCTCTGCGGAGCAGGGGAGTGGTCCACCCATGGCCTGGGCATTGGGGCAGGGCCAGGAATGCCCCAGGAAAACCTCTGCCAGCACTCCCCACCCTTCTCCTGGCATGGCCCAGGCTGTGGGCAGGGCCCAGCACCCTGGGCTTCACCATCTTCCTGGAATTCAGGGGAGGAGCAGGTGGAGGAGAAAGGAGGGCTCGAGGCCACATGGCCACTTCCTCCTGACAGGGGCCAGGGCCTCCAGGCATGCAGCGCCTCCCTGGGGTCCGAGGGTCCATGCTCCCCTGGGGCTGTGGGGACTTACAGCTCCTTGTAGTTGGCGTCATACAGAGTGGCCCACTTGTTCTGCTGGTGGGGCTGCCACTTGATGGACTGGTAGTTGGGGTCCAGGTAGGAGCCACTGAGGCTGTCACTGTCCTGCAGGAGACCTGTGGGGGAGCCGTGTGGCCAGGGCTCAGCTGCTCCTCTTTCCCCACTGCCTACCCCCAGGGCTGGCCGGCCAAGTACCTGGGGAAGGCGCCCCGGGTGGGTGCCAAGGTGGGGTCTGCGCCCGGGCAATGCTGAGGGGCAGGGAGCTGGGGCCTGGGGACAGAGGGCCCTGTGGGGGCCAGGGTGGGGACGGGGCTCGGGCGGGGTGTGGGGGCAGAGCCGACACAGTTCCAGGTTCCTGCTTGATCATGCCGTTCAGCATCTGGGCGTTGAGGGTGTCAGGAGGCGACTCAGAGTGCTTTCTCTTCTTGGAGGGATGTGTGGGGAGTCTGCGGGGACACAAGCACCTCCAGGGGCTGGCTTTCCAGACCCTCCTGGCCCAGATGACCCCTCTGCTGGGGCACCCTGGGCACTCTGTCTCACACCTGTCCCCTTGGTTTCTAGTCACCCCTGTCCATAGCCTGGTACACACAGTACCCTTCCTTAGGAGCTATGGCCTCGGAGGCCTGGGCCACAGAGGCTAGGTGCAGGACCTACTCTCCTGTCTATGACAAGGTTTGACAGCAACACCTTTCCTTGAACAAAACTGAAGAAAACAACTTCTTTTGAGTTTTTGAGTCAGGGTCTCACTATGGAGCCCAGGCTGGCCTTTCATTTATGGTGATCCTCCTGCCCCAGCCTCCCAAGTGCCAGGATCACAGGCATATACCACCATGCCTGGCAGATGAAGGACTGTGGGGACAGTCACTGGGGTCCAGGCTCTGGGCCCGACCCCAGCTCATTCCTGGCTCTCCCTGCCAGGACACTGGTGTACCCAGCCACGCTGCAGTTGGCCTGGTTGCGCCCCAGCCCTTGCTGTCCCATCCCCATGCCCCCCTGCTTGGGCCCCGGGGCCTCACTCGGCTCCATGCTGCAGCAGCTGGTGCAGCATCTGTGGCTGCTGGGAGTGGTGCAGCTCGCTGGGCATCAGCCCCTGGCCCATGGCGGCGTAGGGTGGGAGAGGCGGCTCGGGCTTCAGGTACAGGTCCCGCTGCAGGACGGGGTAGTGGGGTGGTAGTGGGTGCTCCAGGCGGGGGGGCAACCCCACATGGCACAGGCTTTCCGGGGTGATGGTGCGTAGGAGCCGGGGGTCTGTGGGAGAGAAGGGGTCAGGGACCATGTCCTCCTGCAGCCCAGGCTGCAACTTCTGGCCAAAGGAGCAGGCAGGAAGGGAAGCCTCTCAACTGGGCAGGCACGGCCAGCACCCATGCCCCACCCTGGAGGCTCCTAAAGCCCCTAGCCCTAATCAGCCCCCTTCAGGAAACCCCCTCACAGCGCCTGGGAGCCAGGCTCCCTGCCTGCCCCTGGGGTTGGGGGGAGTCTGCAGCCCCCTTTGTTCCTGGCAGGCATTCCAGGCATGTTTGGTAAGATAAACACAACTCCTGACCCCTCTCGGGCTGCCAGGGTCATTCTGAGCCTGGCCACCTGGGGGCCACTGCGCCCCTGTGTGCCCGGAAGGGAGGAAGGGAAAAGAAAGGGACGGAAAGGAAGAAGGCCGGTGTGCCTGCTTTGGGCCCTTCCCGGCATCCACTTACCACCAAAGGGTGCGTCCATGATGGCGCGGGTGGCTGGGTGGGCGGCATCCCCACTGGGGACGCTGGCTGGAGACAGGGCCCAGCTCCCCACCCGCCCTCGTGGGGAAACAATAGCCAGGCCTGGGAGTATTTGACCAGCGATAATCTCACTGTTGGGCAGCCCCAACCCCTGCACCCCGCCTCCCACCCGCCCTCCGATAAGGCCGCCCCAACCAGCCCCAATCACTAGCCCGAACCAACCAGGAGGCAGCCAGGGCCCTGGACTCACCGTTCACCTGCTGGGGGGAGTAGGCCTCAGAGCCTGAATCAGGGGGCGAGTCGGGCAGCATGCTGTGGGCCAGAGGGGCTGCTGGGCCTCAAGCTGCCAGTGCCTGGGCAGCCCGGACCCCTGGAGGCTCCTCACATACACGCCTGAATACCATCCCTCTGTGCCTTCCCCTCTGGTGCCCAGCATGCCCTGGGGCAGAAGCTCCAGCCCCAAGCCCCATGGTCACTGTGGCTGAGATCTGGGTCCTTAATGACTCTGGCAGCCTCCTGGAGGCCTAGGGGTCTTGAGGCCAGTGGGCCACAGGGCTGACCCCCAGAGGCAGGTGTGGGCCGGGCAGGGTGCCAGTTCCGCAGGGCCTGGCCAACTTTTTTCTTGCCAGTTTTGTTTATCAGTGGTTTGCGAGAAAGAACAAACTCAAGCCCCAGAGGTCAGTGCGTCCTGGGTGTAAGCCTGGTGCCTGCCTAGCAAGGGGAAGGCTGTGGCCACACAGGGTCCAGCTCTGTGCCTGTCCCTGTCTACTGTCTGGACAGAGTCCCCTCTGTGGTGCCCACAAAATGCCAGCAAGGCCACCGAGCCTTCTGCATGCAGCCCAGTACCTACTGCAGAGGCCCAGTGTCCCCAGACAAGCTCCCCACCTGCCTCATGACTGGAGCTAAGGAACCAACTCAAGACACAGACCCTGAAGTTGGGCGCAGTGTGCCTGCCTGGCATCCCAGCAGTCTGAGAGGCTGAGGCAGAGAGGGTACAAATTCAAGCCCAGCCTGGACATTTAGCAACTTAGTGAGATGTTATCTCAAAATAAGAAATAAAAATGGCTGGGGATACAGTATGCTCAGGGCAAAAGTTCAATCCCCAGTATTAAAAAAAAGTATTTTTTTTGTCTTTCAGACAGGGTCTTGACATGCAATGAAAAACTTAAAATAGAGAATAGGACCTCGAGTGAGGTTCGGTGAAGAAAGCTGAGAAGAGTGGACGGTCACTCAGCCTGCACCCTCACCATCGCCTCGGGCCCAGCAGGCTGAGTGCTGGCCAGCAGCGCCCTGACCACAGCCGGGGGCCGCGTCGAGGTCGCTCACACCCTGTGGCAGCCCAGAACTGTTCTCCCTGCAAAGCCCGGGCTTCCACTTTCAGTGTGGGCTTGGCCCTAGGCTGCGTGTGGCACTGGAGGGGAGCCTCAGGCCCCACATGCTGGCCTGGGACAGCATGCTGAGCACCCCTGCTCCGACCAGCCCAAGGGCGCCGGCCAGGCCCTGCACAAGTCCTGTTGGCCCCTCTGTGCAGGAGGCCGCAACCCAGTGCAGGGCTCAGGCAGGGCGCTCACTCATCCTCACACTTGAGCCCAGCCTCCGCCCATCCCCCAAGGCTGTGCCTGTCAGGGCTGGCACCCACCTAGCACCCCAGGCTGCTTCTCTGGGACCCAGACAGGGCTCACAGGTGTCCCTCAGAGATGGGGTGGGGTGGGGCCTTCAGAGGCTAGCTCAGCCCCACACCTGAGACCCAGAGCAGCTGCTCAGCCCCACTCACCCTGGGGCATAGGGCGCCTTGGGCTCGGCCTTGATGGGCGGCACAGAGCCCCCTGGGAAGGGCTTGGGTGCAGCGCCCAGGCCATTGTTGTTGTTACAGTTGAGCGGGGCGCTGTGGCTCTGGGGCGGGAGGGGGCCATGGCGCCCCAGGGAGGGTCCTCCAGCTGCGGGGCTCAGGTGGTGGCCCCCACTGGAGCCGGGGACCGCAGGCTGCGAGTGTGGGAAGGAGGTCGAGCTGGCAGGAGCAGAGATGTCAGGGAAGCAGCTGTGGAGAGGGAGGAGGCTCAGTGCCACCCGGGACAGCGGGGCGGGCGGGCCTGGGCTCTCGCCACTCACAGGTCAGACGCGTCCTCCTTGCCGATGTACTCCTCCAGGATGCTGGTGTCGATGTTAGACGGCTCTAGGGCACCGTTGATATCGTGGCCTGCAGGGAGGCCATGGCTGGGCAGGCTCCCTGGGGACCTCCGGCCCCCTCCTGTCCTCTCAGGGCCCTCGCTGTCCACCACCCAGCCCTCCAGTATGCGCAATGGCGTCCCTAGCCCAAGGAGACAACTGGACGGTGCAGAGTGTGGATTCAGGGGCAGGAGGTCACTCTTGTCCCACCCCTGCTTCCTAGACAGCTGATCAGAATGGCTGGGGCTCTCATCTGAGACAGGGTTTCTGAGCTTGGAACCCCAGGAGGAGCACTAGTGCTTCATGGGGCCCAGGACCCACTGCCCGTGTGGCTGGGACCCCACAGGGGCTGTCCTGCCCCATCCTGCAGTGACACAGGGCCTGGCCAGGTAAGACCACACATTCTGGGCATCCTGGGGCCTGGGGGAGCCCTCTGGCTTTGGGGAGGCAGGTACACTAGCACCTGGCCAACCCCACACAGTGCTGCATAGACAGACCACTGCTCCCGAACCCCAAGGAGACAGGGCCTGGCTCAGCCAGGGGATGAGGGCACTGACTCTGCTCCTGTGCCCGTGCCCATGCCTGCCCACCGGTCCCAGCCCATGAGGGAGGGTCTGAGCCGGTGCCCAGGGCCTAGGCATCCCGAGGGCAGGGGGTGGTGCTGCCCTCCCCTCCCAGGGTCACCTTGCGGGGGGGTTGTGTGGGGGGAAGCCAGAGGACAGGACGATAAGGGGGCTGACGTAGGAGATGCGTCACCCTGATAAGGCAGGACGGTCCCTCCCACGCTGCTGACCTGGGCTAGCCAGCCCCGCTAAAGCAGGAGGGACCCTTCACTGGCTCACACTGCCCTGCCTGGTGACACTGGGCATGGTGCACCTTCTCTGGGCCTCAGTCTGCCCGTTAGGAAAGTGGGGCCGGCTTTGAGGTGCCTGCCGCAGTGGTTGCTGGTGCCCCAACCCTAGCCCAGGGTCCATGGAGCCCCGGGCCCAGCTGCTCCTGGCCCTGGCTGGCATTTTAAGAATGCTGAGCCCCGCTTAGGTGATTAATGAGCAGCTAAGCCCTCCCAGGAGTCATGCGCCTGCCCGCGACAGACTAGGGCCCCCAGCAGCCAGCAACACCCACCCAGCTGGGCCCAAGGCTGAGGGCCCAGAGCCCCAAGCGATCCTAAACCACAGGGCCCGTGGGCTGCGCGGCTCCCTGTGGGCAGCCACCTCCTCCGGTGGCTCGAGCTCCTGAGCAGGTGTCAGTCCACCCTGTGCAGGGTTGGTGAGCAGCGCTGCCCCTGAACTTGGCGTTGGGGTGGTCATGTTCACCCAAACAACACAGCTGGAGGCCAAACTCGGGCCAGGCCAAGCCTCAGCGGCAGGGTCGTGTGGGGCCGCAGGGCTGGGAGGGGCGGGAACAGCACAGCGGCAGGCTGAACTTGGAGCCCACCCTGGACTGGCCACCCCTCCTTCCCTCCTCCTTCAGGAGCTCCTAATCACCCTAATCCTCCTGCCCACCTCCCCCAGAGTGAGAGGGGATGGGAGACCCTAACAAGAACCAGATGTGGCTGGGGGAGGCGGGACCCTCGGTGCCAGGGACGGGCGGGCAGGGTGGGGGAGGGGAGCATAGGCCCAGGGTGCAGACCCCGCCCACCTGCCCAGGAGCCCTTGCTGCACACTGGGGGTCCAGCCGCCAGCAGCAGGCCTACTTGCCCCACCGACCCACGAGAAACGGAACCCTGGGCCCAGTGTAGTCTCGAAGTTGTCCTGCATCGCTGCCCAAGGAGGCCTCGTCTAGCACCGCTGAGGGTGCTGGAGGCTTGGCGCTTCCCATGGGGGCAGGGTAGACCCACCACTGGGAAGTGACACCCCCACAAGGTCACAGAGTGACAGCTATGTGCCCCTCCCTGTCCCTCCTCCAGCCTTGCTCCATTACTGGGCCCAGGGTGGACCCAGAATCCCTGTTGGCTTCAGCCTCAGCGTGGCCACCCCTCTTCCCAGACAAGCACACTCGCCACAGCTTCTCCACGGGGCCTGTGCTCCCTCCCCTCCCTCCTCAGTAGAGGCCAGGTGGCTTCCCGTCCCCCATCTTACAGGTTGGGGGCACTGCCCGTGGCCCCCAGGGATGGGAGCTAGGCTGCATCCCTTTTCACCAGGCTGCAAGTAGCCTGCAAGCACTGGCACGTGGCATTTGTGTGTGTGAGTGTGAACCGTGGCATGCAGGACAGTGACCAGGACTGCTGCAAGGGTGTCTTCCGGCAGGCCAGGCCCCGCTCCTCACCATGACCCAGCCCTTTATTACCTGCTTGAGACAGGAGCCAGATGCCGGCTTGGCCGGCAGGCAGGGGTCTGGGCTGTGGCCCGGTCCCCCACTGTTCCTCTGCCCTGAGACCACCCTGCTGGGCAGGAGAGAAGCCAGGTGCAGGACGGAACAGGCGGGGACCCAGGTGTCCCTCCGCCTGAGCCCCTCCCTCCCACCCCCCACCAGCTGTGGCTGCTGGCTGAGTCTCTGCCATTGTCCCAGGGGCCGTGAGGGTGGGGACGAGGCACAGTGGGAGGCTTGTGCCCTGCCCACCCCCTCCCTCCCCCGTCAATGGGGCACTTGTCAATTCATGCCCCAAACATGGCGGAAATCCCGTCGGCCACGTGGCTGCAGGCAGGGTGGGCCAGGCCTGAGGATGCTGGCCAGGCCCGGTACTGTGAGCATGGGGTGATGGGGCCCACGCCCGTCCCCATCCCCCAGCATCCCTGCCAGGTGTCTGACCCAGGGTGCCCCTGCCTGCCCTGGCATAGTCATAGGGCCTGGAGAGCCCTGGGCTTGGGGTCCTCGCTTCCACTTGAAATTCTGCTTTGTGGTGCTGTGACTCACGTCCCCTCAGCCACAGCACTCTCGGGGTGGGTGCTGTGTGGCACCTTCCCTCGTCTACTCCCGGCACCCAGTTCTCAGAGAGCTCAGCCCCACAGCCCCTCAGACAAGATGTGGCTCTGTCCCTTGGGTCCTTGACCTGGGCCATGGTTCTCTGTTCCAACACCATCAGTGCCCTGTGGGCGACCTGCAGGGACCCTGTGCGGCTGCTACGCTGTCCTCTGGTCACACACGGGACCCACCCACGAGGACTGAGGGTGGCTGCCACTGCAGGCTGGGGCTCCTGGCCCCTCTGCTTGCTCTGGGGCCTTGGTGTTGTGCAGCCCCAGGAGCAGATGCACTGACACTCTCCAGGCCCTGTGCACCCACAGGCTCCTGTGCTCCTGCAGGGAGCTCCTGCCAGCCCCCAGTTCTGGGCCAGGCAGCTTGAGGCTCCGGGACAAATCGGACAACCCCAGGTGCTATCTCATCCCAGGGGCGATGAGGGACTGGGTGGTCGGCAGTCCTACTGCCTCGTGGATAGTCCCGGCACATGCTGTGACAGGTCTGGATGGCCACCACTCAGCTGAGGGTGACTTCAGCCTGTCAGGGCCAGTGCCCGCCCACCTGCAGGCACCTAGGACCCTAGGCCAGCTCCCTGCAGCCAACCCTGTGGGTCCATGCGTCAGCTCAGCACTGGGGAGAGTTACCAGCTGCTCTGCACCAACCCCTGCCCTGTCCAGGTGCAAGAGGGGTGAGCTCTCCTCCCCCAGGTGGACAGAGAGCCCATGGGACAGGCTGGGCCCAGGCCTGTCCCAGCCCAGGCCCTGTGCACAGCTGGCTCCCCTCTCCCTGGAACCAGGACCAGAGTGGAGCCTGGGCTGGGCTTCCAGGACCTGCAGGTGGGCAGTCACTGCCTATGCCAGCCTGTGGCACCTGCCCTGGGATGGATGACCCCTGAGTAGAGGCCGAGAGGCCAGGCACTATCTTCCGGTCCTACAGCCTCCCCAGGAGGTGGGCCCAAGCCAGCCCTGTGACTGTGTCCCCCATTTTACAAATCAAAAGAGGACTGTAGGCTGCAGAGATGCCAGAGAGTGTGCGACGAAGCCACTCATTGCCCTCTGGTCCCAGCCCGCATCCAGAGTCTGGGCCTTGTGGGAAACTGAGGCACAGTGCAGCCTTCTCAAGGAGGAGAAAGAAGGTGGATGGAATGGCTGGGCAGGGCCTGGCTGGTTAATGATTTAGTTAATGATTCCTGTTCTGCACTTATCAGGAGGGCAAAGTCCGAGGGCAGCAGCCAATGGGCACCTGCGGGCTGCCACCAGCAGCCCAGAGCCTGAGGCTAGAGCCCCTTGGGAGTGGGAAGGGGGCCGGGTTCCCAGCAGGGAGGCCTACGGGGGCCACCAAGACCTCAGCCTCCCGCCAGGACAGGCCTGTGGTGGGCTGGGCCCGGGTACACCCTAGGCCTCTGCCGGGTATCGACGGTGGCTTCCGCTGACTGAGCGCCTTCCTGCCGCCCCCCGCTCCCAGCCCTGGGGTGGGTGAGTCAGACCCCCCCCCCCCGTTATGTCGTGTCCTCTCCTGGCCCAGGGCCTGTGTCAGGGCGTGTGACTGGCTCACAGGGCTGGGACAGGGGTCTGAGGGCCTGAGGAGGAGCCCTCCTCTCCTTCACAGATGGGGTTGGAAAGGCCCCACCCCAGCCCCTGGGGGACAGACCATCAGGGGTCCCAGAGCCACTCAGACCATGCCAGGCCCCTCTCTCCGATCGATGACAGCCCCGCCCCAGCCTGGTAGAGGAGGCTGGAGAAACCAGGGCCTGTGGCTCCAGGCCACCTTGCTTTCTCTGCCTGCCTTCTGGGACAGCAGGCTGCTCCCCAGAATCCGAGGCCAGCACCCGTCCACTTCTGGACCCAGCCCTCATCCTCTAAAATGTCCCCCTCCCCTGGCATCATGACAACCGTATCTGCACAGGACAGGACCCAGAGAGAGCAAGCACTCTGTGTGGTTCACACGGCTCCCCACAGCTGCCTGCAGCACCACTCAGGCCGCAGCCTGACTCTCCAACACTGCCCTGCCCTGTCCCTGCCCTGGCTCTGGGGGTCCATGGCCCAGCAGACAGCTGATGAGGAGCCACTTGCCACCAAGACCAGTTACCTGATGGCAGCCAGTGCATCCTGCTGGCCGGTCCCCTCTCCACGGGCCCTGTGCCTATGATCTAGGCTGCTAGTGCTCTCTAGAAGGGATTAGCTGGTGGTCACGGGGGCCGCTGTACCAGCCTCCCACCTGGGCACAAAGCGCCTTAGCCCCCAGCTGGCACCCCTAGGATGGGACCAGCACATAGGCACGCGTCAGAGCCTTCCCAGGCCCTGCCAGCCCAGCGCCTCTGCCCATTGTTGGGGGCACACGCCAAGGCCAAGCAGGGACCAGGAGGCCCAAGGACGCACCTAGACCCCAGAGCTGGGCTGCCTTCCTGGAGCACTGTCACCCAGCTGAATCCTTTGCATGCCTCCTCTGCCAGGGTCCAGAGATCCTGGCCCTGCGCCCCCAGCTAGGGCTCTGGAGACTTCTGGCCCTCCTGGGCAGGCGCCGCACCCCGCCCTGCTCCCCACCACATTCTTCAGCTACTCTTATCTCTGGAGGAGCCGCAGCCTCCCTGCCAGGCGGCGCATGGCTAAGCTGTGGCGTCAGCCCCCACCCCCACCCAGGGCCAGGAGGGGAGGGTTGGCGGGGTCCTGGGAAGGAGGAGTGAAGGGGGCCTGGCCACAGGCCATAGGGTCACCTAGCAGGCCCCCTAACAGTACCCTGGGCCAAGACCCATGTCTCTTCCCCTCCCCTGGGAACGCTGGGCTCCAGAACCCCCTATGGATGATTAACAGTATGGGGGAACAAGCCCCCCCAAGTGGCCCTACTACTTTGGTACAGACTGCTTGACCTCATCTGTGCCTGCTGGGTGCTAGGGGTCCTGAGGCAGACAGTGCATGGGATGCCCTTACCCAGGCTGGTTACAGAATCACAGATGGGAAACTGAGGTAGGAAAGGCCTTCTCTTGCCCAGGGACTTGTCCCACAGCCCCAGCATGGTGTGCCCAGAGACAGGCTGCTGGGGATGGAGGAGCAGGATGTAGGCATAGGGAATGGGGGTAGGGGCTCCCCAAGACAGCAGAGGGGGCCACAAAGGGGCTTGGCCAGAGGTCTCAGCCAGGGTACGAGAGGTGGTGGGAACTGGACAGGGACCTGACTTCTCTGCCCCAGCACCAGAAGCAGGGAGAGCCGGGGTGGTGGGAGACGTAGGGCAGACCCCTAATACCTGGGGTGTGCAAGTTCCCGCCCCTTCAGCCTCCCCGGGGTCAAGGCAAGGGGCGGTTACTTCAGGAGGAGGCGCTGGGGACAGGTTTGGGGACAGCCTTGTGCCGCCCAGGGGTGAGAGTCAACCAGACAGGCTGTGCGGGCGGGGGGCTGTGCGGGCGCAGCTCCTAACAGGACCCAGAGCCACGCTGCTATTCGAGCTTTGAGCCTCAGGTGGGCACCGTCTCAAAGGGGATCCCGAGGGTCCTACCGCCTCCAGGAAGGCAGTCTCCAAGGGGGGTCTCGGCGCCCGAGTGTCTCTAAATGAGTACCCTTCTCAAGGGTCCCAGCCTCAAGTGGGGGGACCGTCTCAGAAGAGATCTGGATCTCAGGGGTCCCAGCACCGGGAAGGGGAGCAGTCTCAAGGGAGATTCCAGTTTGGGGTCCCTGCTGCGGGGGAGCGCGTTCGCCGCGTGATGGTCGCGGGGAGCCGGTCCCCAGGCCTGCGCAGGAAGTCTCGCGCGGCGCTCACCTTCGAAGAAGCGCTGCAGCGCCTCGGTCTCGTCCACCACTTCCATGACCGCAGCTCCGCCGCTGCAGCCCGGCCGGGGCGCCGCACGGCCGCCGCGACCGTCCCGCCT